TATGTGATTTATCAGTATATAAAGCAGCCTGTGTTTTGCTCTCGTTGAGCATCAGCCGCCTCTTGCTGACCTCCCGCGGCCATGTAAAATAAAGCGCTTCTGTTAGCCAAACAGTGATCCTGTCTAAATTTCTACAACACTCTTACTAGAGGGACCAGATTAGTGAACTGGGCAGGAGCAAATGATGACAATAATAGAAAGTACAGCAAGTTGCTTTGTATTTATTCTTCTCCTCCCCTCTTCCAACCAACACCTTCTGTGCATGCAAGTATGATTGCCACTTCTCCAAAATACAGACAAGATCATACCTTTTTTGCTGACTCTAACTAAAGCTTGTTTATATGGAAAACCGCTTCAAACAGTCCACTGGAAACCGCAATATATCTGATCCAATTTACATTCAAAATGTAATACACAGCACCTAGGTACTAGCTTTATAGTCTCTGCATAAGAGTAAATAAATTGTCAATGTTACTGTTATATTTCTATTCAATTAAATGTATCATTTGAGGTTACAAAACTCACTAGACCAAATTCATCTATATTCCAGCTTGGTCATAAAAAACGGTACAGAAAATGTGCAGTGGTGTGACATAAAAACCCCTTGTTGATCCCAGATTGGACTCCCCCCCCCATCCAATCAGAAAAGAAACCCAAATAGCATTTGTGGAGGAGCCTCTCTCAGACATCAAACGAACATGACAATGGTATTTAGTGAAAGCAAAAATGAAGGCCTGTAACCAAACAAACTGGATTCTAACTGGATGTAATAGCCCATGGTGTAAAAGGAGGGAAAGGAGTATTAACTGATATCCAACCCAGATTGCCTAAAGAATAAAAATAAATTTATCATATATAAATCCAGTCAGGTACCCCCCATAATGCAGTAAGTTTCTGCATGGTGAACTTGTTGATGGGAGGTGGGGGAAAGGAAAGTGGGAAGGATAAGGGGAAACTGAACTTTCACTTGCTTAAGGCGCACAATGAGAACTTAAAAAAAGTTCTTATGCTTTTCTGGGACTTTGGGACTGTGATGATGACAAAGTTTAATTTGCCATAGAACACTGTTAGGAAGACTACTGTTTACATCAACTTCTTCCCTTTTTTGTCTTTAAAAACTTTTTTTCCTTCTCCCTATTCTCCAACATACTGTTTTGGTTATACTTCGTTTCCATGGGTATTCCTGGCTCCACAGAAGTATTTTGGGTATATCTGAGCAAAATGAAAGAAAGGGCCTTGTGGCACATTAAATCTAGGGGTCCTGGATTGTCCACATACTAACACCTGAAACTAGTTTAAGTATACCTTAGGCAACTTTAAGTTACACCACTATGAGGCAAGTTCCTCTCTGATGCATGTTACCCAGCTCATGTTCCATTAATGTGAGGTCACTCACCACAGATAAGCTGCCCAGATTGCCACAGATAAGCTGCTCCAGCATCTCAGGATGCAGTGACCCTTCCCCCAATTCCTGTTTTGTGTGGACAAATGTTCCACCCTCAAAGCTATACTGCCCAGGGGATGGTTCTTGCACCAAGCCAGTCAAAGAAAGTTTTTGGCTTTAAGGTGCAACTGCTCCAAACTCAAGCTAGCACTAACATTAAGCAGCTCAAATTACAATGTGTAACAAGGCCCAAACTGGAATTTCCACCTATATTTCAAGGGAGTTATCAAATCACATACACAAACATAGGAAGCCAGGGGACAATTCCTTCCAGGTATACTATTAATAGAGTGATGATACAGCTGTTTTCTTGAGATAATCATTTAAAGTGTTATCAACTTACTCAAGTTAAAAGTTGTAATATTAATATTGTTATTTCTTTAATACAGAGGTTGTGAAGTGGGGGTACATGTAAAGGGGCTAAAGGGTATGTGCGGGCAGGTGGGGACCGAGCACTGCCACTCAACACCCTCCTAGGAGCAGGAAGGGGGGGGCAGCAACTGCCATCCACTACCCCACGCAAGCTCCTCCACGCTCCACGTCTGTCTGGCCCAACCCTCCCCCACATTCCACATCCGGCTGCTGCCACCCCCCCTGCTCCACCAGAAGTGTACCCAGAAGGGTACACTTAAAAAAGGCTGAAAACCCCTGCTTTAATAGATACTGACAGCACCTGCTCTACAGGGGAATGTCCATAAATAGGAGTACCGTATTTCATGGTGTATGGCATGGGATGGGGCCACACCAGCCGAGCACTGAGCCAGGACTTGCCTGTGGTGAGCAGCACTGGCAAGCGGCAAGCCCAGTGCTGCTTGCAGGGGACAGGACTGGGCTCAGCGTTCAGCTGGCACGGCCTCATCCCCCCATCCGCTGCCAGTGGTGCTGGACTCATAGGGGATGGGGCTGCACCAGCTGAGCACTGGCCCTGACCCCATCCACTACAAGCGGTGCTGCAGAGCGCCAAGCCCAGTGCTGCCCCCTGTGAGAGGTGCCAGACTTGACATTTGGTAGTGCTACTAGCAGCAGACAGAGCCAGACATTTTTGAAGTGGCATGGTGTATAACTCGGGTCTGATTTTTAAGACACCAAAATTGGGCTTCAAAACCTGACTTATACACTATAAACTATGGTACCTGACTTTACAAAAAGGGTCTCTATGAATACAGGGACAAATTTTATCTCTCTGCCCTCAACTGGGGAACTTCTAAGATATGTACTGTTAGAGAAGCTCTCACCTGGTATAAAGCTGGTACAGTAACTACTGTTCCAACTATTCCCCCCATTGCCCGTGGAGAGGTTACACTGAGGCAAGGCAAGAAATAATACAAAAGGTTCAGGCAGAGCTCCAATACTTTCACCTGGTGCGAGTCCTTCAAGGACCATAGCTGTTTGCCTTGAAATTGGAACTAGAGCTTCTTAAACCTGAGATCAGGTATCCACAGATTGTCCTCCTTTCTTCCTATCTCTTCTGTCCTTAGTGGAACTTGGCATTGAATAAGTTTCATACCATTTTATCAAGGATATAATTGAATGGCCAAGAAGAGATTTTATGATGTATAAAAGATAGGCAAAGTTCACACATACTGTGACCAAGAAGCTGAATTACTTACTTCAATTCTCTTTTCAAATCCATCTCCCTTTATGAGGCGGTCAACATAGATCTTGGGGATATGAATGTCTTCTGGGGCAAATGATCCTATATCAACAATTTCTTCCACCTGCAAAGAAAAAAAGGAAAACTAAATATAGCCTGATAAGCCAGCGAAAGAGACTTATGACAGATCAGCAGTGAAAATTCCAGATACTTTGCATACAGCAGATTGAATCTGCCCAAGAAAAGGCAGAGTGCCAAAATAATAAAAATAGCACAAAAATTGGTGGCTAAATTTCCCTGGTGCATAGGGCAGGCACCAGGATTTTTCCAGGCAAAAGGCATTTCCACATATATTACAATGAGTTATATTTCTAATTATCCAATTTGCACAGCCATATCAAATAAATGTAACCTGTAGACTAAAAATGGTTTTGTGCATACTATGTAATAAGCATCCAAATGAAAGGAAGTATAATTTTTGGTGGCAAAAATCAGCATGCAGCTGTTTTAGACATATAGAGGCCACTTTTGAGATCAGTTTAAATCTTCCCTACAGTTCAAGTAAATACAATTTTAAGACCTATTAGATCAGTTGGTAGAATAAGTCTGCACAAAAATTACCTCTCTCTGCATACACTATATTTTACGGGATTTCTTAGGTGAGCAAATGGTCAGTGCAGCTACACAAAGCCTAGACACTGATTTTCCTTACAGTTAATGTTTGCAATTAGTCACAATATGTGCATGATGCTTTCAGTACTTGTATGTAGGCAAACACTATTATGTCAAACAATGCAATGTGCCTAAGACAATGTTTTGTAATTCATACTTAAAAGGAAATGAAACCATATCAGAGCTAGTTTAAAGCACAGGTTAGAAAAATCAGCATTAATCACAACATAAATATAGCTAAACAAGCACAAGCCGTAAACAAGAAAGAGTTATGGAGTAAGACACACTGATGGAGTTATGCCATTTAACCCTAAATGTGTGACTAATACAGTAATCTGAGAGCACTGTCATCGCAAATTAAACAATATTAAAGTAGTCTAAACTCAGGTCATCATGCATAAATCTCAGATGAAAACAAACTTATGTGCTGTTTCTATTGCCATTGTAAAATCTCATGAATAATAAAAGGCATATGGCATCTGTCATACAATGTTTACCTTAATGTCCTCTACAGCATGACAATAATTAAACAACCTGACAATAAACAAAAGCAAAACCGAAACAGAAATTGAAAGGTTTACGATTATAAGAGGCATTCTCAGATGACCTCTAAAACAGCTGATGATGAAACAACAACAGAAGGATGCTTTGTACAAGAATAACTGTAAATAAGAAAGCTTTTGCACTAACAGTGACAAAAGAGTGCAAAACCAATGCTACACATTTAGAAGGAGCAAAAAAAGAGAAAGACAAAGGTTCTATAATGTAGGGTGGAACATGTAATTTAGCTAAAAAAGATGTTTTATTTGATGAAAAATGGTGCAAATGCATCCATATACTGTCTTACTAATTAACTGGTTACTGTGATATTTGTTTGATTGATCATTTGGTTGTTTTTTTCTTGATTTCTTTGTTT